TATGGGAAGCACATTTAAATCTTGCTGATAGGGCCCTAATATAGACAGAGCTAATTTGGACAATATAATATCAACCGTGAAGATTCTTTTCTAAGAAAGTCAATGTCTCGCCCACATCCTGACCTACTCCAATCCCCTTTACTTCCACAACACTGACCAATTCATACAATAATCAGCCGAGAAACCTGGAAAAACAGAGAAGGCAGGACATCCTTGAATGTAGTGATTACAGATTGGTATGATATGAATGTGGTCCTTGTTCTGTATTACCGTTAGCAACCTTAGCCCAAATATATCTTCTTTTGTGATATTCTCAACTATCTAATAAGATAAAGCACATTTTAACTTTGGACAAATTTGTAAACCGTAGAGATTGAAGATAAAAGCCCTTACCCTGGCCAAGGCAATCAGTGCTTTCTCCTCAAGTTTGTCCACAGGTACTGTTTTTCGCGCTGCCTCCTGTCTATGTGGATCTTCATACTGCACAAAACTAAGTCATAAACTAAACAAAATTTTACATTGTTTACTCCTAAAGCAAAAATATAAATTAATATTTGATTTTTTAATTTTTTTCAAAATTTTCAAACAAAGTTACTTCCACAAAACTTAAAGACTTAAAGTTCTAAAGCAAATTAGCATGAAAAATATAAGCACATAATTGAAGGTAAAATTCTATATTGTAATCAAGCAATTACCACCAAATTCAATTATTAATTTACTGGATTTTACGGTCAATGGAATAAGCAAAGTGCTTAAAAGTTATATAGTAAAAGATCAACCTTAAAGGAACAGAAAAAGATTCGCAATCATTACCATTAGAACTTGATCAACATAAGGCCGTATCCTCTGCTCGACCTGCTCAGTTTCACTTGCAGCAAATTGTTGCATCATTAGTGCTTCTTCTTCGGCCTAAATATACAACTGTAAATCTTCAACATATTGTCAAAAAACAAAGAAAATGATAAATCAAAATCCATTTGGTTCATGGAATTATTTTTTCGGGAGAGAGAGAGAGAGAG